AAGTCCTGGCAGTACTTGTCGCATTCCTTCCCGCACTGCTCTCCGATTTGCATATGTGGTACATAGAAAATGTGGCATCTGTTGAGCTGTGAATTCCTCTGACGTCACAATATCACAGATGTCTGCATCTATGTCCAGTACCAAGCCGCATGTTTTTGCAGTAGTATATTTGAGGGTCTGAAATGATTATTCGGGGCGATGTTCATCGCGTTGTTGTGGTTGCATCTAAGTAGAATGAAATACCGAAGTTTAAGGCTGCCTATTCATGTGTCCTTTGGCGGATTGTGCGAGCTGGGTAATGCGTGGTTCCTATCGCGAAGTCAACAGGCTCGAACAGGTTTAGTCTGTAGCTTCCAGTTATCTATTGTCTGTTGATTTTCAGTGCTTGTCGCTTGCTGCGTGTGATGTGATAATTAAGTTGTCTAAGTGTGGTTTGTAATTATTACTTGTAGAGGCTTCGTCGGACTTTGCGGGCAGGTTTATCCCGTCGGTACTTCCATATGTATAGATGGTGTCTGAAGAAACACCTGCACATACTGGTAGCAAAGGTTCTTCTTCGTCTGTGAAGCTGACGTAATAGGTGATTGGTGATGTAGCTTGGTGTGGGTGAAGTATTCGACAGGAGATGTTGAATGATTATGAGCTAACTGTACTACAATTGCGTAGGGTAATTATAGGTGAGAAGACTGTAATTTGCACGTTGCAGCGGGTGCCGCAACCAACAGGCCCCCGCTCTCCTACACCTCATTTTGTGTAGGGCACTGCGGGGAATTGCGAAGCACTCAGTCTCGCCGTTCCACCACAGCGTGGTTGCAGCCCAGGCTGCTCGCCCGTGCTGCGTCGTGCGTTTCGCGATTTTTGTAGTGCGGGGCAAGGCCTCAGTTACCGAAGACCAGTTCTGTGCCTCCGAGTGGTTTATTTTTCCGACCCTCAGGAAAACGTGACTTTTCGTCGGCGCCAGGTCGCTAAACCGTGACGCTATGCGGCTTAACTCACGTCCCGTTTCCCCTCGGGGTATAACTGAGTCCGTTCAGTTAGCCTAAACACAATAGGCCCAGATGTGGCATCGGGAAAGCGTGCGTTCGTGCACTCCTTGTCCCAAGACAATAATGCACTGCAGCGTAACTTATGCCCGGCAGGGGTTCTCTACATGTTCAAGGTGAACCTTGCGCTGTGGTACAAGACACATACGCCGTGAATCTAAATGAGATGTCGATTATAACCTTTTTAACCTACCATATTGGGGTATAATGCAGTTTTCAAATACTATTAACGGTCAACAGCTAGGGTGGTTCATTTTTTCGCCGAGAGGTGCACCAATAGTAATAATTAAGCAATAAATCATTAGTCAGATCCAACAAAACCGAAACGTGGAGCTGCTTCGCGCTGGATATACGATGACGTCGCAAATTTGTTAAATGCTGGCGAGGATGTAAACATAGCAACGCGTGCATCTTCTATCACGTGTAAAGCAAGCTGGTGATGTCGTCGACGTGTAATCAAGCTGTGCCAGCCCGTCTTAACCCTACCAATGACGAGTTCAACGATGATAGCAGTTATACTGCCTGACAACGGAAGCATTGCATTTCGACTTCGACCCGCCGACGTGTGAGGCTGTAGCTAACGTGCCCCCACATCGATCTCCTCGTTGCTCAATATTGTGCGTGCATACTGCAAGGCCCTTTGGCAACGACGACTGGCACGCTATGCAGCTAACAAAACCGAACTGTGCGTCGTCGTCGCTTCGTGGAATAAAGCGCTTGCAGTGAAGAGACAAACGCCTTCGGTAGAGGAGTCAAAAGCTTTAATGCCGGAGAAAAGTCGTTCTTGACTTGCTGGTCAACCAGGCCAAGAGACGTCTCGAGGAATCGAGGCGTGCGTGAATGCCGCAACTACATCTTCGGTGGAAGTTGCAACATGCTGCATCTGTCTGTTGGGTGACGCGCGATTGGAAAAGAGTGGTAACGTCTGCTTCATACTGTGAGGATATCTCGGAGCGCATGGCATCGCGGTGCGGCCAGAGCTGCAGTCGCGCACCGGCAGCAGCTCGCGCACTGCCTGCGCTTGGGGAGCGTGGTGTTGACAGCGGTACGCGTTGGCCACATTGTCGGGTAGCCCGCTTATTCCATCTTTGCTGCGGCAACTAGGCCGATATTCTGAGATAAACGTTGTGCGATGCTAACCTGTCAGTCTTGATTGAAGATAATGGGTTTCTAGAAACAGTATTTGACGTAGCATATACGTTGGTTGTTCGTTCCAGACGCCGTGGTACTGGGTGCGTTCGCGTATATTTCTTCTTTGTGTGTGCACCGCAGTACGCTTCGACGGGGAAGACCATAGTGAGCACGTATACCATGCTCGGTATAGATTTCACGTTAAAGAAAAACGAAGCACCCTATAGAGGCAGCCGTGCAGCTATGCGGGTTCGACGCAATAAAACAAACGAGAACGAGTTCAGGAACGCTGTAGGTCAAGTTAACGACCTGAACGTGCTTCTTCTCGTCGACATGAGGCAGCACTCACTCGCCGGTGCCGAAATGCACGCGGGAAGCTTCCAACTTCGCTTAGCACCTCGTCATGTCCCCATAGGCAGCAATGACGGCACTTATTTTGGACGGCCGTGAGTCATACAGTGACGTGATGAGCGGTATCAGCCCAGTTCCTACAGTAACGATGAAATTAGCCCGCTGCCCGACAATGCGGCCTGTGCATGCATGCTGCCGTAGCCGACGACACGGTTCAACCGTTCAGCTATATGCATGCACCGCGCGATATGCTGCCGATGCGCGTTGCCGCGCTGGCCGCATCGCGAGCGAGATTTTTTCAGTGTGAAAGACTGTGCAGTACGTCACGTATACAGGGTGGCCCGCGTTTACAGGCTTCTTCCGGAATTGGCTACCAATCATTAAAATTCATATTCGAAATAACTTATTGGCGTACGGTTGTATAACTTAAAACACACCAGGGTTCCGAAGAGAAGATGTGTTGAGTTCTTTATTGAAATTGGTGAAAATCGCAAAGTTGCCAAAGTGCGAGTAACTATTATATTGTGGGTATTGCTTTCTGGAGTGATCGCATGATGTAGTTAATCTAATATTGCTGCATGTTTATGAAGTGCATGAACATGACCTTGTTGCGTCGTTTTTGTTTTTTTACAACTTGAGAAGTTTATAGGGAGTCTTGAGCGATAAAGTGCCTTGCAAATCATTAGCTTGCATTTTTATTTTTATCATCTTTTCTTTTTTTTTTTTTACCTGTTCTCCTCTCACCGCACGTTTTTTGTGGTTTGGGCGTGTCGACGGAGACCTCTGGCGGTCGGACTCGCGGTCTGGTCGAGCCATTAGCGGGTGCGTGCATTAGCTAACCCCGCCGCTGCACTTGGGCGCCTCGCTTTGTGCGTGCCTCGAGAGCTGACGACACGGTGATTTTCTTTTTTGTTTCTTTACTCTTTCTCTGTCTGCTCGCCCTGCATTCTTGTAGGAACCGATTGTCGTCTGTGTCGTTGCCTGTGTAGTTATATATCTCGGAATGTGGACGTCTGTTCCATTGGAACTAATAGAAAACACGTTAAGCACGCAACAAAGGCCCCGCCCCCATAACGGGGGGGGGGGGGGGGGGGGGGGTCTTAGGTCTGGAGGTTTTGTTCGCAGCAAAAATATAGGCGGGTAATTTCAAGTCGTACAAACGTTGGCACGCACACATACGCATGGTACGCCTCTTGGTATACCTTCGTCGTCATGCTATTCGTGATGTATACACTCCTCTGGCTCAGCTTCGCCTATAAAAGGGCAGTGGCTTTTCGTGACAAATAATGGTATCACACGCGGTCGACGATCAATATTATTTTAGCCTTCTCCTTGTGCTCGACAGATAGAGATGCACCCCGTGGGATTAGGTGACAAGGGAAAGCATTGATTGATGTGTGGGGTTTAACGCCCCAAAACCACCATATGATTATGAGAGACGCCGTAGTGGAGGGCTCCGGACATTTCGACCACCTGGGATTCATTAACCTGCACCCAAATCTGAGCATACGGGCCTACAACATTTCCACCTCCATCGAAAATGCAGCCGCCGCAGCCGGGATTTGATCTCGCGACCTGCGGGTCAACAGCCGAGTACCTTAGCCACTAGACCACCGTGGTGGGGGCTGGGGGGGATGGGTGCACGTTAAAGAATTCCAGGTGGTCGAAATTTCCGGAGCCCTCCAGTACGGCGTCTCTCATAATCATGTGGTGGTTTTGGGACGTTAAACCCCACATATCAACGAATCAAAACCGTGGTGCGGGCGACAAGGAAGAGCACCTCCTTAGTAGTTCATGGCGATATATATATATATATATATATATATATATATATATATATATATATATATATATATATATATATATATATATAGACAGAGTTGGAACTTTTTGTGTGTGTGTGTGTGGGGGGGGGGGGGGGGGGGGGTGAAGAATATCCACCCATAAGTCCGTAAGCAATGGGAAAGGTTTAGCGAACTACTGCGTTTCGACTCGTCGACACCTTGACATCTGCTATAAGCAGATTCTGACAAGCACGACACCCAAAATAATGCCGAGATATGCTCTTGCTCGTCTGTGCTGTTGTTGCCTGACACGTAAGCGGATGACCCTTCTTACGTGGCGGTGAGTGTCGCTGAGACGGCGAAGCCGTCGGCGGTCGTGGGCCAAAGAAAGCGGAAGGGCTGCTCTGCGGCGGCCGAGGGAGGCCGGGCATCGTTGGCTTCCTGCCTGCCAGCCCGCTTTTCTTTTTCGCTCACGTGTGGCCGTCGCAGGAGCAAGAAAAAACGACGCCGTCCTCGTCGGCGTAGTACGTCGGTTAGGAGGGCGCGACGTCGCGTCTGGGTCTCGTCGAAGGCGTGTCGGGGAGGGAACGGCACGTCGCCGGCTGCGGACGCATCGCGAGTCTGCCTGCGCGGCTTTCGTCACGGCGGTCCTCCTCGCTCAGTTGTGTCTCTTGCGGACGCTCCCTCGTCAGCACTCCAGTTCTGCCGGAGCTTCCGTTCGGAACGGTGCGATCTGGACGCGTTCTCGTGTTCCGCTCGCTCCTCCGCTACAGAGTGGTGTAGATGCCTACCAGTGGCGCGACGGAATCCTCTTTGTTTTGGTTGCGCTTCGCTTCTCACATCCAGTCGCATCTCCGGTTCTTGTGCTGTGCCTGTACTCTGTTCCCGCCTGCATACGCCGGCCTTTACGCTTGTCACTCTTCGAGCCCCACCGTGTTTGCGTGTCTAGGGAAGTCTGTACACGTGCGCGGTGTATACCCATTGCAACTGGAACGGGGAAGCAACCCTGCGTATAGTCAGAAGAATTAAGAGGCATATATATACAGGGAGCAGTGACCGATCTTTGTTTTGTGTCGGGCCTGAGGTCCGGTGGTCTTCGCACCTGGACAGGACACGAACCACTGTGATTGTCGATTGTCGTGTCTGGTTTCGCGATGCCGCACAAGGATGAAGAGGAACCGCAAGCTGGCAGCAGTGCCGGTGGGTGCAATAACTCCTCTACTTCATTACTACTCACCTATGCACAAAATGCGCTGTTATTTACGGTCCTCGCGTATCTGCGCTGCATCTGCCATCAGACGGAAGTTGTGGTGCTACTGCGTTAGGCATGTGAACCTTATTACTTTCTGTTTGTACATTTTTTCTACACTGTTGTGGATTTTTCGCTTTTTTTTTCTACGGGCAATAACATTTGCAGGTAAAAAAAAAATAAGTGATCGAATTGGAAATACGAGGGAGGCAATGATAAAAATGTACACGACAAATAATTGATAATGACCGAAAATTGAGTTAGGCATTATAAAAATACATGATGTGGCTGTGGTACAGATAGAAACAAACAAGGCACTGTCTTAAAAATATACCTTTCGGAAGAAATGAGGATGATATACACTAACGACAAGAAAATCTAGTCTTGTCACATTTACGCGCTTCGTGTGGGAAACAAAAGCACATGATCCAGAACAGCAGGCATCACACGTATCTCGAGCGTCGAGCAGTATTGTTAGGTTGTGTGCGTGCTAATCAATTCTACTGCTTCGTATAGCCTTTCTGCGAGCGTCGCGCGCCGTTCGTAATAGCGCATGTAGTCGCTCGGTGTTGTTCGGAGCGCATATGCACCTTCACAAATCTTCCAACTTCCTCAAATATTGTCATGGATTGACGTAGTGAAAGGGCAGTCTCAACCACCTCGTATCGCTTGACCGTGCGTCCCGAAACATTTTTTGCTCGACAATGTCCTTGCGCTCTTTTTGACTTGAATCAACCGTCGCGAAGCCGCATTACGATCGACGTTCACAAAAGCAGCGCGTCTTACACACTGAAAAGTAGGGCAAGTAAATGGTTGAAATAAAATTCTAATTTCTCCCAACCGGCCTGTTATGCCCTCCTCCTTGCCCCACTATACCGTTTAGCGACCCACAGCTGCTCCTTTATCGTGTCAGCTAGCCGTCGACATACATGTCCAGCGCCGTGCAAACTTGCTGATCTTATCGCGCCACTCCTTGCACTCTCGACATCGCTTTTCATCTCTTGAACTCGCCGCGTTGGTGTAGTGATTCTGGTGCTTAACTGCTGGCCCGAAGGTCTAGTTAGATTAGACGACCCGAATCATCTGACGGGGGCGGCAAGTCTGGGCCGTATACGTCTAATCTATCGGACCTGTTCTGCCATTGTTTGAAGTGCAGGGTTACGTCCGTTTTTTTTTTTTTTTTTTTTACGAATGGGTAGGTTTAGAACCACTGATGTTGCTTTACAAGCAAGAACTGTTTACTTCCCAACTCTGCCCCGTCCCCCTCCCCAAGGAACTAAAGGTCGCCGTTGTGAGAAGCATTAATCACGTCTTTCCTTTTTCCTTTTTTTTTACATTCATTGCAACACTTGTTTTCATTCGAATGACGCGAAAAGAGGGCGGAAAAGGCAACTGGATAAAGCTTGCCTTCCCCTCCCCCTCCTTACTCCCCGCCTAATGGAAAGCCCCTACGCAAGCCTATGGGTGCAATTACGACAAGCACTTCTGCGAAAACTGCCTGGGTTATCACTCGGCGAGTGATTATGAGAACCGCGATGACTGTGCTTACAAAGACATCGGTCATTGTGCATCCGTCTTATAACAGCGACGAGAGCCGCTGTCGCTGTAGCGAGTTACCCACCATCCGTCAGGACGATTAATGCGTGGTCACGGCTGAGAAATGCTTGCAAAAGAGCTAAATACTGGTAATTGCCACACAGACATCAATGTACACCGGCCCTTATGGCTGTGTCATATTGTTCGTGGAGATTATAATTAATTAGATGTAGCTGCCAACTAAAGTTTTTATTTCAAACTTATTTTTATTTATTTAGCCAATATTTAGTAGTGCAAAATCTTGTGTCAGATCATCCGTAGACCATAGGTGAGCCTTCCGGGGTAGTTTCTGAAACTATAGTTCAAGAGCTTTGTCGTAGGCAAACTTTTTAATGCGTCATCGGTGGTAGAAAGTCGCCCATATTTCCGTGTCACACGTATGCGCGGCTTCATGAGTTTACACAACAGCGTGCTAAGACGTGGAATTTATTAAGGGCACCGTGTTTGTATAGACAAATTCCGCCCGACTTACGTCACGAAAATGCGGTGGCGCTGTCTTGGTAGGCAAAAGAGGCTCTGCCTACCGCAGTTTTATGCTGAGTTTTCAATGGTGCATGTGGTGTCAGTCAAGAAACGAAAAAAGAGAGAGAAAACGGTATGCCGACGAACTGCGTCGCGGTTAGATGTGAGTCGCGTCTCAGAACTTAGTTAAGTTAGTTGGCGCACATCGCAGCCCTCAGCGCTTATGGCGGAGGTTACGTGCGGACGTCGCTATAATTTTACCCATAATGTCGACATCGGCCTATCTTTGTTTACAAACATGGGATGGGTCTGTAGCTTCGTATAACATTTGCGGTCTCCGGGTTGTCGTGCCCGTTATCTCGGGACAGAGTCGCGAAATCTATAGCGCGTTACAGAACAAACAACGCGTTCGCTGGGGAATATGGTGGTATTCATATCGCGCGGTTTGGTGTTTTGTTTCTGCCTACGGAGATGTGTGTATAGGGTGAGCGCGAAGTGTAGGTACTTTTCTGGCGCGATAGAAAAAAGTGAGAATCCCGGCTTGTGTGTGTGTTCGATTGTTCTGCTTGACTCTCTTTTTACGCGTTTATTGATAGTTAACGTGTTAGTATCTTCGTTGACGGTGTGAAAGAAGTTCTGGAAGCGCGTCTGTATGAAAGACAACGGGAGAGACGGAGAGGTTGGAGGCAGGGGGAGGCATGTGCGCACTTATGCGCGGACTTTCGTTCGTTAGCGTTTTGGTCAATAAGTGCAATATTTTTTTTTTCATTTTTCGTTGTCACTTTCGCGTGATATAGGACGTACGCTTTCGCTAAGATCGCCGAGCGCAAGGAGTGGAAGAAAAAAAAAACATTAATGACGAGAAAGCGAGGTCAGTTACGTAGTACTCTATTGCTCTCCTTTTCTCTCTTATTTATCTATCTTTTTACGTGGCTTGATGAACGTTTATGTCTTACTTAATTGCGGTGGAAGAGGCTGGGTGATTACGCCGCGTGGCGGCCGAGAAATACGCCCTCGGCGCTGTGTGTGGCTTTCCCGCGCGTCTTGGCGTGGCGGTCGTTATCGCCCTAATCCTTCCGCGATGTTTACTGCGATCCCTGGAGACTTCGGGGGATATACCGCGGAGTGGAAAATAACTGGCCGCCACGACGCCTGGCGGGAAGCGGAGGATGACGCTAGGTGGTGTTTGTATATGCCCTTGCTCCGGAGCACTCAGTTGCCTTGCAGTGATTATGCCGAAGGTGCGTCTGCGGGGGATAACGAACACCGCAACGGATCGCTCAGGATTATTATATCGTCACACCGGGTCTCTTATATATAAAGTGCACCCTATAGGTCGCTAGCAGGCCACGTTTGGGGCTGCTCGGGTTGTGTACTGACCGCGTGGTCTCGCAGTCGCGAGCCGGACCTTTTTGACAATGTCACTAACTACCACGCCCATGCCGCGCAAAGACCCGCCATGGTTGTCTAGTGGCTGTGTGGCGCTCGATTGCCGACCGCAAGCTCGCGGGGTCGAATACCGGCGGTAGTGGCCGCATTTAGATGGCGGCAAAGCGTTAAATACCCGCTGGCTTAGATTTTGGGAACCACTGGAAAACGAGACATTTACATAAAACGAAGGACACAGATGGTTGAGTGTTATTGCGTTTTGATCCGCATTGTATTCGAAATGATCGAAATGATTCCGAATGTAACGCCCGATTTCGCTAAATATCAATTTTTATTAAACTAGCTCAGATTTATTGCTCGTCAAGCGTCATCTGGTCGAAATTTCTGGAGCTTATATAAACAACGAGGTTTCAGGGCGTTTAACTCAAACAAGTATTACATATTAGCGGTGGGCAAAGACAAGAACGACTCCGCAGCCTCATTGAGCCTTTAAAACGATTAGTTGACGCTACCCATTCCATGTCAGTCGAACCTGAAAAAAACTCAAAAAAAAAAAAAAACGCCAGGCCAGCGTGGAAGGCGCAGCACTGTCACAGCGAAAGCTAGAAGAGCGGCCTTTCAGAGCCTCAGTTTCAAAACACTCATTGGGTAACTACTGCAAGCACACTTGCTCGATACCCACTAGGGCATTAATAATAAACTTTTGGGTATAGCAGGCCGACATTTGCTATGCTATTTTTCGTCATTCTTCTGAGAGGTGTGGTATCCGCTAAGCACTCGCAAGGAATTTCGTGCCAATTGTTCATGCAGTGGCTGACGACGATGAGGAATTATGGCTGAAGTGCGTATGTGCCACACGTAATACGGGGAACAAGAACAAGCTTTTGTAATAGGTTGGAGCATTGGACGGCCCACTCGTTAGGCTATTTGCATTATTCGACGACTGGTTGTTCTTTCGCTGCTTTAAAACGCTTTATAAGTCTTGTTAACGCGACTGCTTTCCCGACATCAAGCCTGCCTAAGGCAAGTTTGCCACCATGTGCCAAGCACCGGCGTAGCTCAGTGGTAGAATACTGGGCTGGCACCCAATGGACCCGGGTTCTAGCCCTACTGTGTCCTTGGTGCTAGGTTTGCCAACAAGTCACAAGCACCGGCGTAGCTCAGTGGTAAAATACTGGTCTGGCACCCAGTAGACCCAGGTTTCGATTCCCACTGTGTCTTTGGTGCTAGTTTTTTTTTTTTTTTCTAATTTCGCGCGATGTGGTTACGGACACCGGCGGCGGCGGTGAACAACTGCGCGTGACCAGAGTTGTGATCTCATAACAGCTTACGCTGTAAAAATTGATACGAATATAATGTGCTGGTTTATAACAGGGTGTAATATGCCATAAACCATGCATAGATAATACGTTGACAGCCGACGAACTTATGTGTACATCGTTATATACCATACTTCTCGATCTACACATCTTGAATAGCTGCGAATGATGCCATCTATAAATGT